TTATATTAAGCTTTATATTTATAATATATTTAATTTTTAAATATTTTTTAAATACTTTAAATAAGTGCTTATAATTACATCCCAATATACTTTGAGCCCAATAAGTATTTATTAAGTATTTAGCAAATACTTAACAAGTATTTTTTAAGTGCTTTGACAAACTTTGTGATATATAGTCAATAATCATTTTTTTGATGCAATATCCACACTTCCAATAAATAAATATCTGATGCATTGATAAAGATGTGATCACAATATTATAATTAAATAAATTACAGTATAATTCATTTTAATTACAACCAATTACAGCATTGCAATTACATCACTATTAGTGAACTTACCTTGTTTTTAAAGGGTTTATTTATAGCAATGTCTAATGGTTGCAATCAGAAAGTTAATCCATTAGGAATTACCACCAAGTCAGTATTTTTTTCTTTAAATTGTTGTTTAACTAAATTCTCAAGATGACTACAGAATGAATCAAGTACTAACAAAGAACATGGATCAACAGAGCAAGGTGTATGATGGTTTTATACATTCTCAATCCAAAATAACATTTCATCAGTGTTCATCCAACCTTTTTAATTTTTACTCCTCTTGGAAATTCAAGCTGTAGAACATTTTTAAGTTTAAAAATAATTAGCAGGGTCAATTTAGAACTATCTGACATACAATCAAGAACAACTGTAAAATTTAATTTTTCATATCCACAGATTCTGATACTAATACTATGGGTCCCAGATTTATCAATTGTAAAGTTGTTTGGCAAGTCAAATAAAAGTGGTGTTTATTCATATTGCCAATTAGATTTAAAGGGTATTCATGTTTTATTCATTGAAAAAGAACAAAACTTAAAAATTCCTGTTGTTTTTCATCATAGTTTTCAGATAAATGTTGTAAAACAGTTGTGCAGCATCGATTACTCAACTTATAGCAGTTTATAAACTCATCTAACCATTTATAGCTCCATTAAAATGTTGAAATATTAAAATATAGTAAAAGAAATCTCTGTGTTTGTGCTAAGTTTTTCACTTTAACTTGAACTATATTGTATATAACTACTTTAAATTTAGCTCACAATGCATGTATCCAACTACTCAATTCAACTTCTAGTTCAGAATACTTTGGGTAAGAGCCAGTATTTAGCCAGTGAATATGTGAACGTGCAAGAATCAATTCTTTTTTTTTTAAACTCCAATTACGAAACTGCTTTGGTTCAATTTCAAATATAAGTGAAGTTTTATGAATACTTGTCTGTGTTTTTTTAGGACCCCGGACATCTCTCATATAGATCATACTTGCACTTTAGCAAAAAGTCAAAAATTTGGCCTAAAGTCCGATTTTTAGTTTTA